GCAGCAGCGTAATGTTCTGTTCAGATTCGCAAAATCACTCAATGAAAGCTGTTTAGAAAATTTTAGAAAAGTGTTTGTTTTCTGTTGCGACGTACATTGCGGTCAGCCCACGCTATGACAGCACATATGAAAGAAGTTCAAAGGGTTAGAGTGCCTCGACCAATCTCCGCGCGCCTTACAGACTAGCTGGCCAACCACAGATGCACCCGACCACTCAGAGGCGCCCTAGCGGTTTAAGCGACCAATTTCTCTCCTGACCTCCTTCCTTCCCAAGATCTTTTGAAATAATTGTTCCACTTCAATGTTGTTACTACGAAATTGGCGCGAAAGGTTCAACAGTATCAACAGTACCAACACTGATGTAGAACAGTAATGGCGTTGTACATGTTCAATTCGGGAAATTTCTTAGGAAAACGTTTGCTGCAAACTCATTCAAAAGGATGTTAATTTTTCTGAACTACGACGTCATTACGGTTAATCCACGTTATGGCAGTACATATGAAGAATCTGTTAGGGTTATGGTGCCTTGACCAATCTCCGCGCGCCATTCAGACGAGCTGGCCAACCACAGATGCACCCGACCAATCAGAGGCGCTAGCTATTTATAGAGACCAATCTCTTTGCTGTCCTCCTTCCATGCCAAGATCATTGAAATAAGTGTTTTACTTCAATGTTGATACTAGTTGATTTGAGCGCGAAAGACTATCAGCGGCACCAGCATTTTCAACATTGATTTAGAATAGATCATGATTTGCTCTTCGGAAAATTACTCAGTTAAAGCCAAACTGTTGCGAAATAAGTGTTTTTTTCTTGGCTACGACGTTTATTGCGGTCAGTCCACGCTATGACAGTACATAAGAAAGAAGTCTGAAGGGTTAGGGTGTCTTGACCAATCGCGCGACTTACAGACGAGCTGACCAACCACAGACACACCCAACCAATCAGAGGCGCCCTAGCGGTTCAAGGAGACCGATCTCTTTCCTGACCCCCTTCCTTGCTATGAGCTTTCGGAATAACTGTTCTATTTCAATATTGATATCAGACGAATTGAGCGCGAAAGGCTCTCGCCTGCTCCAGAGTGCTTCTTACTTGTCATCGACCTCGACATGCTTTTGTGTACGTGCCGGTCAGTGTCCGTCACATCACACTGCCTGTACTGTTTACTCTGGACGGCAGTGCACCTTCGCAAAATCCTTGAATAGCTCACGCCGATCGCGTTTGTGAATGTAGTGCACGATAACTCCGTTACAGTGGGATGAATGGGACTATTTCGAACTGTCATAGCATTGACGCAAATTGTAGTTGTGTAAAAAATTGAGCATTGGATTTTTACAGGATGCCAGAAGTGGACGGACAATTGTACACTACGCCATCGAAACTATGGATCCACAAATTATTGAGGTATCCGCATAAATGAAAAACTCAAAGAATCCATCAATACGCAAATTTTTCAGGTCCTGAAAAACAATGTCGAGGAAGAATCATGGACGGAATTGGTGAATCTTGCAGATTTTAATCAGGAAAAACCTATGGACATGTTCAAAGCCGGAAGATCCCTATCGCAAAACGAGTCTGCCAGGTATATCCCCTGCTTTTGATTCAACACAA